AGATTACATGTTCACTCTCCTCTACACACTGAGTTCTCTTATTTTAGGCTTTGTAGGCTTTACTTTGAGAGGAATATCCCAAAAAGATTCCTTCATCACTTTTGGTATCGAATTTTCCAAGCTGATCCTTTCCATTGTTGAGAATATAGCATTTGCACCCAAATGTTCTTAAGTGAGTCAGCTTGGGCTTCCTTCCATTTAGCAACTAATAGGGAGTTTTGTTCAAGAGAGACCTGATCATGCACCTGTTCACCAAGTAGCAGGCAGTGTTAACAGCTTCAGCCTAGAAGTTCTTCGCAATTCCACTATCGATCAGCATTGTCCTGGCCATTTCTTTAAGATTTCTATTCTTCCTTTCCACAACTCCATTTTGCTGTGGAGTTCTGGGAGCGAAGAAGTTATGGGTAATGCCATTCTCTTTGCAAAAATCATCAAACTTGGCATTGTCAAATTCTGTCCCATGATCTGATCTTATGCATGCTACTTTTGAATCCATCTTCACTTGAATTTTCTTCACAAAAGCAACAAAAACTTCAAAAGTTTCATCTTTTGTTCTGAGGAACAGAGTCCAAGTGAATCTGGAGTAGTCATCCACTACCACAAAGATGTATCTTTTTCCTCCTCTGCTTTGCACTCTCATAGAACCACATAGATCCATGTGAAGGAGATCAAGTGGTTTTGAGGTGCTGACATCCTTCTTTGGCTTAAATGAAGATTTCACATGCTTTCCTCTGGCGCAGGCATCACAAACTTTGTGCTCCATGAACTTTGATTTGGGCAGACCACGAACCAGGTCCTTCTGAACTAGTTTATTCAGTAAAGAAAAGCTTGCATGCCCCAGTCTTCTGTGCCACAGTTCAGCATCATCATTAACTGCTTTCAAGCAACTCGGATCACCACTTTATAGAGATTCAAACTCAGAAACGTAGATGTTCTTGTATCTTTTGGCCACCAGTACCACTTCACTCGTTACTAGATCAGTAATTGTGCATATCTCCGACAAGAACTCCACCTTGTTTCCTTTATCACATATTTGAGAAACACTCAAGAGACTGTACTTGAGGCCATTGACGTAGTACACATTCTCAATTGAGTGATTTCCTAATTTTTTCAACTCCAAGAATGTACCCCTTTTTCCTATTTCCAAAAGATACACTCCATCCTTGCAGGGCTTTTAGTGAAAGAAAGTCCATAGTGTTCCCAGTCATGTGCTTTGAACATCCACTATCCAAGAACCATTGTTGACTGCTTCCTTTCACTGTTCCCTGCACAAGGAAATCAAGAGTTAGTTTTAGGAACCCAAACAAGTTTGGGTCCCTTCTAGTAGGCAAGAGGATGAATAAGAGCTCTTTTAGTCCATGCAGGTAACATGCGTTTTTATTTGGTGGCACCTGGTCCCTTTTCAGTAGTTACATTTTCAGCAAACACTTTGTTTTTCTGAAGAGACTGGACCCTGGCTTGGCAAATTTCTTTGAAATGCCCATTGTTCCCATAGTGGGTACACAGCCAATTATCCGGTACAGTAACATACTTTCTATGGGGGTTGTAAGGAGTTCTCTCCCTTTGAAACCCTATTCCCTGCCTGTTTCCACTATTATTAACATACATGGCAGTAATAGCTTCCGAGGACCAGGTCCACTTAAGTGACTTCTCAAGATCATTTTTTACTCTTTCCAGTTCTACTTTAAGCTGCCTATTTTTCTCAATTTCAGCACAAAAACTAGTTCTCACAGCATTTAACTCGTTTTGAAGCTTAATGTGTGCCTCACTAGCTACCTCTTTCCCTTTATCAGAATTTCCAGTCCTACACTCAGTTCCAAGTTCCTCTATAGTTTCCCTCAAGTCTACAATCACTATTAAGAGGTCATCTCTCTCCTGCTCAACAGCAGTCACTTTCTCCACTAAGGCATCCTTTTCTTTACTTAAGTTCCCAATGGTTTCTTTTAAGTCAACTACTACTACCACCAGATCATCTCTTTCGTGTTCTACACTAGTGATTTTATCAGTTAGAACCTTCTTCTCATTTTCCAGATCATCTATAGTTTCCTTCAAATCAACCACACAAACTATCAAGTCATCTTTGGTTTGCTCAGCTTCTCCTAATTCTATGGTCAAGGCATCCTTATCATCTAAAAGACCATGATATGCATCGATTAATACGTTGGCTAATGACATGAGTTTCTTAGGAGAGTAGGATTTCAGATTTCTCTGTACATCCCTGAAGTTTACCTCATCATTATCATCATCTTCATCATCGTCTGATTGAGCTATTAAAGCAAGTATTAAATCATATTCATCTCTTTCACTTTCAACTGCCATCATGGAACTATCACCTGCATCAGTTTCTTCTTCAGACCCACTTGAGGAATCTCCCCATGCTACAAGAGCTTGCTTCACAATGTTGTCAACGACATTCTTCCTTTTGAAGCGTTTATCAGGAACCGGGTTCCTTTTGGCTGCTTTATCAGGGTTGTACTTGAAGTGTTCTTGCTTCAGGAGAGGACAATCTTTGATAAAGTGCCCTGGCTTTCCACATTTATGACAAATGTCATAATTCTTTGGTCTGCTGGAACTGCCTCTCTTTGGTATCCCCCCATTCCTTCTGACCATTTTTTGAAATCTTTTGGTTAGGTAGGCCATGTCACAGTCCTCCTCACTTGAGTCATTGCCTTCAGCTTTGAGTACCGGGTTCTTTTCCTTCTTTGGTTCTCTTCTTTCACTGTCCTTCTTCTTCTTCATTTTGTAAGTTTTAAGATTTCCAACTAGCTCATCTATAGTTAGGGCCTGCAGATCCTTTGCCACAGTAATGACATTCACTTTACTCTCCCACGAACTAGGCAGAACACTGAGAATTTTTCTCACAAGCTTGTTCCTAGGAATGATTTCACCGAGAGAGTGTAGCTCATTTATGATGGAAGTGTATCTTGTGTGCATGTCTTGAATAGATTCATCGTCTTTCATCCTGAAGAACTCATACTCAGTGGTGAGCATATCAATCTTAGATTGCTTTACTTGAGTTGTTCCCTCATGTGTTGTTTGCAAAGCTTCCCATATTCATCAGGTCCTATACCACACACCAAAATTTTCTTGGCACGAAAATTTTTCTCCACAGCTTTCCTGTCTGCAACGTTGTATTCCTTTCTGGTCTTTGGCATCATCACTGGAGGATCTCCGACCTTCTTCGTTGGGACATAAGGACCATCACGTATAACATCTCACAACTCAGAGTCTTCTGCCATGATAAAATCATGCATTCTTGTCTTCCACCACCCATAGTATTGCCCATTGAACCTGGGTGGCCTATACGTAGACTGACCTTCTTTAAAATTTGGTGGAGCAGCTATAAGGATCCTTCCTAGGTGTTAGCCTGATAGAAAGAACCCGCTCTGATACCAATTGATAGAATATATGAGTCCACCAAACTATACAGAGACCAGGTTCTCTATGAGTTTCCACTGAGAATCTAATAAAATAGTAAGTAAATAAGACAGGGAGTTTTTAAGTGGAAAAATCCCTGCTCGAGGGGATAAAAAATCACGACCTACACTAGTAGGGTTTCAACTTCACTATGAGCAACTTTTAGATTACAACCTATGCAATCTAGGAATTAAACTCTTAATCCCTCACTAACTTGTAATACACCTATTACAAGCCACTTAGCAATACACCTATTACAAAGACTTCAACTCATGACTAACTCCAGTCACGACACAAACACTAAGAATTTATGGTTTTACAAGGGGGGTTCCTAAGCAACGCTTCTAGATAAGCAAATTAGGAATTACAATGAAGAACAATTACAAAGTTACAACTCAACTAACGACAACAAGATACTAGATTTAGGAACTGGTCCGAAGTAGTGTTAAACTTTGTTCTTGATGCACTTGAGAATTGAATGCTTGATTAGTGAAAGGTTGGAGTGCTTGAATGCTCAAGTTGATTCTCAAGTGTTCAAGTAATGTTTTGTTGTAGTGCACTTGTTAATACAACATAGATGACATCACTTGAGTGATGTAATCACTTGGTAGGTCAAATGAGAAGTGACTGCAGAACCTGCGCTGCACTGTTTCTGTGTATAGTGCAGACAGTCACTTTCCAGCTGTAGACAGTTGACTTCGTACTGCTATCAGGGAAACACAAGGGTATCAGGTCCCTATGTTGTTTCTCTATCTTTTGAAGTCGTAGCAGTTCTCATTAGCTGGAATCCGTTGATTTGAGTTGAGTACCAAATGAGTCAGGTTCTTTATCTGGCTCTTTGACAGTAAGTTTGTTAGATCATCAAAATACAAAGCTAATTAAGGCATTGTAAACCCATCACCTTGACTCTTAATTATAAACATTGTGGGTCACCTCCACCAAATAACCCAAACTAAGTTAGTTAGGAACTTCTTTCATGATTTCTCTAACAAAATGTTCTTTAAAGTATTATCAGCATTAATATTCTATGTTGAACTGAGTACTAAAGGATCCAAATGAAGCCAGTTACGTTGTTGACATTATTTACTCTATGTTGAACTGTTTCAGGCTTTTCTTGAGAATCTGCAACATAAGTATCCTACTTGCTAAAAGTGTTTATGGATATGAAAAGGTAAAATTCAGCTTAATTACATCAAATTCATGCTTAATTACTTGCCTAACGTACGACAGAATGCGTAAATGACAGTATGATGTAGGTGAAGTGTTTGGGACACGAACCTAGGGTAGGTGCTCAACATGAATTGGAAGGGTGTTGGATTTGTATAGTAGTAAGAAGATACCTAATTGGGAGTTCGAGACCAAAGTTAAGATCCAGGGGTCCCTCGCGATACTTGCACAACGCGAGGATATATATCGCAAGGGTAATAGAGCCTGGCAGAATTAGCAATTTTGCGGTTGTGCAGTTGGGTCAATTGTGAGGCCGAGTCTGAAGAACCTAGGACCTTACACGATACTCGTTCTGGCCTATTAAGTAAGTTAGTTAGTTAGAGATCGACACTGGACCTGCGTGACGCGAGCAAATGCGAGAAGAAGGTATCTGAGAAGCTGGACAAAGCACAAGGGGACGGTGTAATTAGGCCTAACGCAAGCCAATTGTGAGCCCCTTGAGTTTAAATATGGGAGAGTCAGAAATGAAACAAGTCACTGAAAGTGGAGTTGCGTACGAAAAGCTAAAACTCCATAGGTTTTAAATTGGTACTGTTGACCTAAGTAAAGTTTGTTTTGATGATTGACAAAGGAACTCAAGTGTGAACCAGGTCCATACATAGTGTATACAGACACGGGCAGATTCGAGCACAAGGCATGCACGTGAAGTAGATAAGCTTAAGTGGATATATCTGATATCTCTTGAACAAAAAGGTTGCATAAGTGATAAGGAAAAGGACTCCTTACTCGAAAAGAACTCTATCCTAGATAAGGGAAGAGTTAGAAGTTGAAGATAACTAGAACTCTTCCACCAAGGAAGAGTATAGCATTAGAACTCTAGTTATTTCCTATTCTACTAACTCTATATATTTCAGGATGTTCTCATTTTACAAACACGTACAAGCACTGAAGTTAAACGAGAGTTGAGAGCAAAATAGCAAGGCATTTGCAAGCAATTCCAGTGTGATTCAAGTGTGCGAACCTGAAACTACATAAACCAGATAGAAGAACCACCTGAAAATTAGGAAGAGTATAACATTAGAACTCTAGTTATTTTCCATTCTACTAAATTTATATATTTCAGGATGTTCTCATTTTACAGGTACGCACAAACGCAAAGTTAAACGTGAGTTGAGAGAAAAATAGCAAGGAATTTTGCAAGCAATTCCTGTGTGATTCAAGTGTGCGAATCTGAAGTTACATGAACCAGATAGAAGAACTAGTTCCTAGTGTCTGTCTTTTATTCTAGCTTCATTGTAGTAGGGCTTTTAAGTTGTACCTTTCAGCTTTATCTAGAAGCAATTGTACTAGGTACTCTGAGTGTTGTATTCAAGTTAGAGTTAACTTGAATTTGTTGCAACAGCTAGAGTTTGGTTGCCACAAAGAGTTAGAGGTAATCCTTAGGTTTACAAAGAGTTTTGTAAATGCTGCTTTTGGCTCAGTGATATCGTGAAGTGTTGGAAAAAAATCCTACTGGGTAGTAGATTGTGGTTTTTTTACCTTTTGAGCCAGGTGTTTTCCACTGCGTTCTTTACTTTCTGCATTTATTATTCCGCAACAGTAGTATATATAAGGAACATATAGAAGAACCAGGTCCTTCTATAATCTGTGCACGCGAAAAATTGAACACCACACAAATCACCCCTCTAGCGTGGCATTGAACATCACATACTCATTTCGTTGGTACATTTATCTTTTATCTTTGACTTTAAGCTTGATTTTGGCACTCTATTATCTTGTTATGATTGTTAGCAGCAGCACACATTCTGTGAAACCCTGTATAATTGACTTCATTAGTTTTACGTAGTTTATTTATCCTAAATGAGAGATATCCAGGGTTGCTTGCTGGTTTGTAAGGCGGAATCCCTTGGTTCATAATTGCAGGATAACCTGCTTTAACTAAGCGGATATTGAATATGACCCTAGAGTAGATGTCCCAAGTAGTGAGCTTCAATATAATATCAGAATACTCTCTGGAAGGCTTAGAATCCTAACCTTGTGTCATGAGATGGTTTCTATGGTGCGCAGGCCTCTCAAAAGGTAACAGAGGTGTGCAAAGGTTTCCTTGGGCTGGACGGAGATTGACCCTTGAGTGCAAAGGCAGAAGGGAGCTGTCTGACCCCTAAACACGATTATCCTTTTGGGGGAAAACTAGACTCCGCCTTATAGGAAATGGGACTCAATTTCAGTTTGAATTTCTGCGATCAACCTGTTCATTGGGGTTAACATAAGCAAAATAATCTGTTAAACACAAAGGTTTTAACAAATTTACACAAAGTCATTGTATTTGAATCATTCATATAATTGCCAAGGATTATAATCTAGAAGTGTTTCATAGTACATGTAATTCTACTCTCAATGTTCGCCTTTCATCTTTCCCTTCTCTTCCAACTATGTAACAGGAAAAAGTCAAAAACATCATTCCATAAGATGTTCCTTGATGATGCTTGCAGCAGAAAACTTAAAGCACCCAATTCAAAGGGCTCATGGTAGCTGCTTATAATATGTGGCGTTACTGAGCGCCCATAGGCGAACTCAGATGTTGGAATTAC